ACAAATTTTTTTTCATTCATATCTATGAAAAGTTGTCGACTCCAAATAAACCAACATTTCCTCGAAGACCCGTATTTAGGGGAATTTAAATAATTTGTTTTCAAATTATTTAAATTATTTAGTTTTAATATTAAATTTAGATAAATATTTGACTAAATTTATTTCAAACTAAATTAAATCCATCGATTCAATTTGAAGGATATAAATAATATATTTTAAAAATTTTGAGCACAAATCTTCCTTCTTTTGTTCTCAAAAAAATAAAGTATAAATTTATGGGCATTAATTGTAATATTATTCAGAGTCAAAATTCGTTATTAATTATATTATAATACTATAATAGTATAGTTAATTCTTATTGAAAATTATTAAAATTTTCATAAAATTTAGAATATTGATCATAAAAAATTTTCAATATTAGGCTAAAAAATTATAATAATGAATGTTTTCAATTGCATTACAAAATAATCATAATTATAAAAGAATAAAGATTTTAAAAAGAATTAAAATTAAATATAGAAAATGCATGTTTAAATTAAAATTCCATTAAAACTTCTATAGGATACGGTGGCGCTTTTAACCATCATAATAATACTTTTGCAGCACTTAATGTGCAATTTTGTCCGCAATAATAACACTCACAATGTTTCTAAAATTACTACAAGATTGTCGGTAGTTCCTATACGTTGAAAGAAATTAATAGTAATAACGATTTTTAAGCCGTTGCTATTAACTGTTGGGCTTTTACTTTTTTCATTAGTGATCTTATTATGGGTGTCAAAACGGATCAACGAACGGATTTGGATCTGACATGAATTTTCCTCACCCAAAATTGATCCAATCAGAATCTAGTCAACCCAAACAAAACCCATTTATCAAAAGAATTAATCCTGAACCTGACTCGCTAACATCCCAAATAACCCGAACTTGACTAGTTAACATATTTTGGTTACAAAAATTATTTATAACTTATTAACTATAAAATTTAACATATTTCATAAAAAAAATTAAGAAGACTATACAAACAAGTAAAAAAATGTTTAGAAAAAAAAAATTAAATGAGTCCTTTCAAATGAAAAATAAGTTTGCGGGTTAATTAGAATTCAAAGTGTTTAATTAACAGGTCAAAAAAACTCAACCCATTTATTAAATGAGTCAACCCGACATAAATTTTCGGGTCAACTTGGCTAGTCATGTCATTTTTTGACACCCCTATATGCCATTGGATTCTCATTATAAAAAAATTATTATAAATGTTTATAAAATTTCTTCCTCAAATAAATTTTAGTCGTATAATATCATTAATATTGTGATCTCTAATCTAATTTCAATATTGTACAATGGGAGGCTTAAAAAGTTATATACTCGAAAACAAATTTTAGCTTTTTGCATAATAAAAATGCCTTTTTTACATTAAAATCAATCAATATTAACTAAAACTAATAACATTCAACCAATATAAATATCAGATCAATAATTTTACATATTTAAAACCAAAATATCTTTGGCATACATTTATGCAAACATATTAAATATAACAGGATTTAAAATTTTATGTTAGAATATATAATTATTTGATTGATGAAAATTAAATTAAATAAATTTTTTTTTTCATGTAACAATATGACATCAAGGAGGACAACAAATGATTGATAGTTTTCTTTTCAAGTAAACAATTTCATTGCAGCAAACAAATGTCAGAAACAATGAGGAATTACAGAGAATGTTTCCATTAACAAACAAAATGGAAAGAATAAAATGTTGGCGAATGGTCAAGCAATGATACTATTGAAATAAATTTCAGTAAATGCCAGAAGGATCGGCATTTTGAACAATCCATGGATGCTCAAGTAGTTTGTGAAATGGGAGACGCTGCGAGGATTCTTTGACGAGCATCTGAGCCAAAATTTGAAGCTTCTTAAATGAAAAGAGATTTAAAAAGCAATATAGAGAGACTATGGGTATTTACCTGGCTTATCAGATCCTTCGCAGCTGAAGAGACTATGGGTTTTGAGGGGAATTTGAGATCAACTTTAATGATTCTGCATTCAGAGCAAATTAGTTTATCAGGTAATAACATCAAATTGCTGGGTTGAGAAGAAACAAAATCAAGCTAACCTTCTGTATGTATCAGCGTGCTCCTTGGCCTCAAATGGTGGTACACCATAGAGGAACTCATAGCATAGAACACCCAAGCTCCAAATATCCACACTAGAATCATGATCTACACTTTCCACTGCAATTAACAAATTTAGTATTAATCGTTCATCAGGAAAGATATGAAAAATCATTAAGGCTTTGATTGGTTTGAAGGAAATGAAATGAAAGCTGAATAGTTTGTTGGTTTATGAATGGTGCTATTACCCATTTCAGGTGGAAGGTAATCTAAAGTGCCACACATTGTCTTCCTGCGATCAAATGTGTGAACTGACCATCCAAAATCTGCAATTTTTATTTCACCCTATCCAAAAGTAAAATGACATAAACATGTTTCATAGCAAAAATTAAAAAAAATATGAAGAAGCAATTTGAGATCAAACCAATCACCTGCACTCCAAGAAGTAGATTCTCCGGTTTGATATCTCGGTGAATAACATGCTTTCCATGCAAGTAGATAAGGGCCCGAGCTAAAGATGATATATACTGTATAATCAATATAAGTATAAAAATTTAGCAGAAATTCTACCTCCAATTTCTATGATTTAGACCAAATCACAAATTCAATGGAGTACTTACTGTTGCTGTTCGTCTCTCACTGAAATATTTGCACCGTTGCAGTTCTTTGTAAAGTTCTCCTTTTGTTGCATATTCTAATATCAAATAAACTCTAGTCTACAACAAAATAGAATGATGAAAATGAAATTAAGGAAACTGTTCAAAGGTGTAAGCTAAGCTGATTTGAAGCTTGCATCGATTAGAGTTTGAGTTTTAACCTGATCATAGAAGTACCCATATAAACGCAGTATATTAGGGTGTCTAAGATGACTCTGAATTTCTACCTCTCTTCGAATCTGATGTTCAACCTGAGACTGCTTTAACTGACTCTTGGATAGAACTTTCATTGCTACTATATGATTACTCTGCAATGAAGGTATGCAAGTTAGTAGTATTAAAATAATAGTCATCCAGCAAAGAAGGGGTTTATTTGATGGTTCATTGTGGTCTCCATGCAATAAGAAATCCCAGAATAGTAGATATATCTCTAGTTCGTTCAAGGTATTATTGACAAGCATGTACCTTCTTTTCTCTGGCCAAATACACATGACCAAACTTTCCTCTCCCTAATGGCTTCCCAATTTCAAAATCATTCAAAGTCCATCTTTTCTCCATGGTTGAACTTTTGAAGAGGACTGTCAAATATGTAATAAAAAAAGAAGTATTGTCATGCCTCAAATTGATAAAAAATTAAACCTGTGAATACTTAAAATCCCCTTTCAAGAGAAAATAGCATGTTCTCCTCATCATGGGCTTTTTTTCCCAACTATCAGCAGTTTCCTTTATAAATCATTCCTTACCATTTAAGGAGTTCTACGCAAGTAAACAAAACATGTTGAAAGACACTTTTGAAGGAGACTAACAAATATATAATAAAAGAAGCTTGGTCATGCCTCAAATCGAGAAAAAAGCAGAAAAATCTAAGAATAAAAAAAGTCCCTTTCAAGAGATACTAACAACCTTGTCTCCTAATCATCACCTGAATTCCCATATCTTTAGTTGCCACTATAAATCATCTTTTTCCATTCAATAAGTGCCACATAAGCCAAGAAAAAATGTTGGAAAACACTTGCTCGTAGATAGAGTGACTATGCTAGTATTTTTATCAAAACTTGACTGCACTTACATATAAGTACAGATAAATTTTTTGGTGACAAGTTTATTTTTTCTCTTGACAATTCATTCATGTTGAGTTTCACATGTGATATTAACTTCAGTTTATGAAAATCTCATTCACAATTTCTAACATATTTTCTTTCTCATGCCTTTAACATGCATTCCATCTATGCATTCTATGCCTTTAAAATATTAAATAAATATTTTGTTAATTGTTGTAGTCACAAAATCTATTTAATACAATCATTTCTCACTATATGCTGTGAATATATGTGTAGATATCAATTTCTCAATTTAGTCTCATTCAATTTTGATTTTAATTCTACTTTTTTTTTTATTTTTTTTATTTTAATTCTACTTAAAACCAAGAAAAGCTTGGTTAAGATTTGGACAGAATTTGAGTTTGATTTTGAAGTGTGGTGGCTGCCAAATTTAAGATCAAATTCACATTTTATATAGTATCATACCTACCACCTTATGTTGCTCTATGAAAAGAGATGAAATCAAAGGATAGTATGAAGCTTAACTTCTCCTTATGGATGCCATCAAGGATAACGATGATCTCTTTAAGTTGGTGGTGAGGTAACGAGGCTAAGGTCAAGCATATACAACAATGTATCTTTCTCCATTCAAGGCATTGAGCTCTTGATGGCCGACTATCTTGATCAACAAAAGAAAAAGTATCCAAACGTTGAGTACAGGTGGACAATGTTGTGAATCGACAAAGAGAATAGTGCTGGTGAGGCAATGAGGACAACAATGATCTCTTTTGGTTCAAAAAGAAGAGGTCGGTCATGTGGAAATGAGGGTAAGGTCAAGCATCGACAACTATATACCTTTCTCCATTCAAGGCATTGAGCTCTTAATGGTTGACTATCTAGAATGATTAAGGAAAGTAGAAGGAGGTCAAGTTCATGAGGCCAGTAGTGTGATTCGGCAAACAGAACAATGGCTAGAGCATTAAGTGACCAGTCACTTTCAGGATGATAGTCAGATGTAAGGGCTTGCAAGCAAAACAATGAAGGAAAGCAAAGGAACTCATGTCATATGCAATTACATGTAAGAGAAGAAGAAAATATGTATCATGTATATATCTTGTATGATATTAGAATATTTTTCTTGAGATTTCTATGTAGTTTGGTTATTTTGTGCTGTTGCTTTAACAGTCAAGAGAGAGAAAAATGACTATAGAGAGAGAGAGAGAAAGAGAGAGAGAGAGAGAGAGAGAGAGAGAGAGAGAGAGAGAGAGAGAGAGGGAATTTGTTGTTTTCAGCTTCAAGTTTAGTTATCAATTATACTAAAAAGTCATTATAAATTATCAAACATGCATATATATATATTTGTCTTCCACAGTCTTTCTACTTATGCTAGTTTTTCTCAAAATTTCCTTTAACAAAGTCATAAGTTGTCTTATTTGATAAGGTCGTCCAATGACCCACTCCATGCACCCAAAATAATGGCATTTGTAGTAGCAATGTGATTACCAATGTTTTGTTACAGTATTTTTTCTTGATGAAAACAAATATCATGACGTTTTGTGATGGATGAATATGAATCATTTATCACAAAGTCTTTTCAGTTGTTTTTTGTTCCATCTTGAAAAAACGTTAAATTCGTTCTTACTACACAGCCCACTATATGTTTGCACTAACCTTTAACTATTACATTAACCATTGCTTATTTTGGGTTAGCTAAAACACGAGGCGAAATAAAGGAGTTCAGATTGCCATTTAATATAAATTTGGCAAGCCATGTTTACTAAATTTTGTTGAAAGAGGACAATTCAGTGGGTTAACTCTTATCAGCAAGCTGAAAACTCAATAAAATAAGAAACAAAGGCATAACGAGAACTCAAGAAAATAAGCAACTAGCGGACAACCTAGAGTATAAACAACAAAATAGAGCATCAAGATACACAATAGCAACAGAACCAACTACAAACATGGATAAAGGCCAAAAAGCCCATAAAATGCCAAATCATAGCAACAGACGAACGGTCAGACCGAGAAACAGAGCTAGCATCCACCAGTTACCTTAAGTCAATGTAACAGACAGAATCAGCGGAACAAACATAACAACAGCAACAGAGAACCAAAATTTACAATCACTCATGTTTTAACAGTGAATTCACCACTCCGACTCATTCCTCCAAAAGTTACAGTGGGAAATTGCCAGTAGGAAGCAAATCAGAGAAAGAATAATATAACGGAAAAATCACAAGAGTAACGAAAAATCTAAACTTGCCGCAAGGAGACCAAGCAGCCCAAACAAAATCAAGTCGTAAAGGACAGAAAATAGAGCAAAATGAAGAAATAAAATCAACAACCACGGCTATCGCATTTCTCGAAAGAAATTGACCAAGAAAATCGCAGATAAATATACCTGAGCCCTCGATCTCAAGTGATTGCCGGCGGTACCGAAGAAAATGAGACGAGGGCTTAGCAGGAGGCCGCCTAGAAGGACTAGGGCATCGAAACGGAAGAGCCTAAGAGGGCGAAACAGCGAGGGGTGATCCGAGGATCGTCAAAATGCGTTGCTCTGTGCTCCCCAGCTCCTCCTTGAACCACCGATGACATATATGGGAGACTCTGCTAATGTAAGAAATGACACTTGTCACGAATTAAGTTGGCAATCTTGAATTTGGTGTAATAAGCCAATCAGGTGATAATGGAATCCTGGGAAATTTGCCCGTTAAAATTCAAAATTGAAGCAGTCGCTTCTGTTATTTGCACATTTGTTGGGCCCATGTAGACGAGCTGCCCAATTTTATAAGATGGGGCCCAATTCGACCGTTAGATAGAATTTGGCAATTTGCTTTGCATCCGGAGCTTTAAATTATGTGATTTAGAGATTTTTTTAATTAAAGATTATGAATTAGAAGAGGAATATATTTTATGATTTATCATTTAATATTTTTTTTATATTTTAAAATTATAGAGAGTGTTATAAAGATGTTAAGTAATGATTAGCACAGGATAAAGACATTTATTTAATTGTTGAACCATTAGCTTGATTATTGATTATAATTATAATTTTATAAAATTTTTATTATGTCTGATATGCCAAAAAAAGCTATGGTTTCAAAAGTGGCTCAATAATAACTGCAATTATCTACTCTAAAATTAAATTAATGAAAGAGGCAAAACATTTCACTTCAACCACAACAAATTTCAAATCATATCAAACTATTTAACCTACTCTTAGGCTTCGTTTGGGAAGGCTTTCTTACTGCTTTCTAAAATAATTTTTTAGTACAAAATTTTTTTAAATTAAAAATTTTTGAACTAAAAATTTATTTTAGAAAACAACAAAAAAAATTATTTCAACCGAAGACTTAGGCTTTGTTTGGGACTGCTTTCTTCCTGCTTCTTAAAGCGAGTTTCTAGTACAAAATTTTAAATTTTTTAACTAGAAAGCCGCTTTCAGAAGCAGTAAGAAAATCGTCTCAAACGAAGCCTTAAGCTTCATTTGAGACAACATTATTATTGCTTCTCAAAATAGCTTTATAATAAAAAGTTACTTTAAGAAGCAATAAAAAAGCCATCCCAAATGAAGTCTTAAACTTCATTTGAGATGGATTTATTGTTGCATCTTAAATCAGCTTTTTGATATAAAAATTAAATTTTTTATACTAAAAAATTATTTTAAAAAGCAATAAAAACTAGCCCATTAACATCCCATTATATGAGACTTTATTTTACAACCACCATCATTATCTCTCAAATAAAAACTCTCCTATACCACCAAGCCTTGACCAACATGTTCTCTTGAGCAAAAGTATCAAATACAACCAAACAAAATGTCTTGATTTATTTATTTATTTATCAACTCTTCTTATTCCTTTTTCATACTGGAAATGCTAGAATTCTACAATCTCAATCAGAAAAAAATGGTAAGAACCGAAATTATTAGGTGAGGTGAATTAAAATAACAACCAATGATTAAAATTTTCCAACATCAAAAGCAAATTTTCAAAAACCTCGGAATAGCTATTCCAGTTTCAATACAATAATAGAAGGACAGCAAATTTTCTCCTTTAACAGACAACACAGTATGTGAATTACTACTCTGCTTCTAGTTTCATTGATGTCAATTTTCTTGAGGACCTCACAGTTACTAGGATAAGTTTCAAGAAATACCAGAAGGATCGGCATTTTGAATAATCCATGGATGCTCAAGTAGCTTGTGGAGTGGAAGACGCTGCGAGGAGTCTTTGACGAGCATCTGAGCAAGAAAGATGATTGTTGCTTAGACGAACCCACGAAAAATTTGCGTCGGAATATTATGATCAAATTCATGAAAGAATGGGCATCATTGGTTTAGATTTGAACTGAGATTAGTGCAAAATTTGAATATTATCTATAGCGCTAATCTGAGCATAAAGTGAAGAGCAATGAGGTTCATTCTAACACAAATTCCATCAATATATCTATTAACACTATCTTTCTTTTTTTTTTTCAATGAACAGGCATTAAAAAGAAAAAGAAGAAAAGAGAAAGAGAAGAGAAAAGAGATAGAATAGATAGTTGAGTATCTACCTTACTTATCAAGTCCTTTGAAGCCGAAGACACGATGGGATTTGAAGGAAACTTCAGATCAACTTCGACGATTCTGTATCCATATTAAAGCACATTGGATTAGCAAAACCAAAAGCATGCTGAAACTACACGAGATATTTTTTAATTAATATCCCATTGGTAGGACAAATTGTTCCATACAGTTCACTTTGGAAACTTGAATGCAACTAAAACCAACATGAAGACGTGCTGAGTAGGTAAAGCAAGTTATAATTATTTTACTTTTTGAGCACGATAATATATATCTTTAAACTTGAAGAGGAGCAAAACGAAGATCAAGCTAACCTTCTGTATGTATCTGAGTGTTCCTTGGCCTCAAATGGCGGTACACCATAGAGGAATTCAAAGCATAGCACACCCAAGCTCCAAATGTCTACACTAGCATCATGCTCTACACTTTCAACTGCATTAAAAAAAAAATCTAGCTTTAACAATTTAATGGTGCAATAGAAAATATGTGCAAAATAACAAAGGAGTTGTTCGTTTGCAAGTATATAGAATAGGGGTATTTCAAATACAATGCAAATGAAATATCATGCATTTGACATACTCAAATTTGTTTTGGTTGGTTATAAAATAAACTCAGGTCATTTTTTTGTATTTGATTGAAAGTAAAATGAATCTAAATTACAAAAATAAATCTAGGGCATGTAGGGATGAGACAATGATAGGGATGGCTTCATGCAAGAAGAACCAAAGGTCGCCGGGATGGCATCCGTCATTTGCGAAGTGCCTAAGGACGGAGTTGGAAGTGAAAGTCACGGAAATGGCTTCTTCTCTCAAAACAAATTAAATGTTGGGCACGTGGGGGGAGTTGAAGTCGAAGGATGCAGGGATGAGGAGTGGAATGGCTTCAGTGAGGTCGCAAGGAGAGTCAAAGGTCCTGAAAAGACAAATGTCATGCTGACGAGCGAACGATAAATTTAGAATTCACTCAATTCGAACAAATTCCAATTTCATAAAAAATGAGTTATTTGAGGTATTCTAAATTCCTTAGAGAAATGCTTTGGATTTGTTTTACTCCCAACCAAACACTTGAAAACTTAAAGCCCCAACATTTCGAATGCAATACACTACTAATATTTGCAACAAAACAATCCCTAGTAAAAGTTAAAGAAATGAAATAAAATCTGAAAATTAAAATACTTTGAGCCTTTATTTCATTTATTTTTTCATTTCCTTTCACTCAAATCCCAACATCCAAACACAGCCTAAGAGAGGGAGAATGAATGGGAATTGGTAATTACCCATTTCAGGTGGAAGGTAATCCAAAGTGCCACACATTGTCTTCCTGCGATTAAATGTGTGAACTGACCACCCAAAATCTGCAATTTTTACTTCGCCCTATCCAAAAGAAAACCAACAACATAAACCTGATGCATTTGCAAAAATGTTGGAAAAGAAATTTAAGATCAAAGCAAAAGAACCTGTGTTCCCAGAAGAAGATTCTCAGGTTTGATATCTCGGTGAATGACATGCTTTCCATGCAGGTAGATTAGAGCTCGAGCCAATGATGCAATATACTGGATCAACATAACTTAAGAAATTTTTAGCATAAATTCAAGTTCAGAAACGCAATGGTCTAATGGTGGCGAACAAAATCATAAATTTCACATAAGTGCTTACCGTGGCTGCTCGCTTCTCACTGAAATATTTGCACTTCTGCAATTCTTTATAAAGCTCTCCTTTTGCAGCATGCTCTAATATCAAATAAACTCTTGTCTGCAGTACAACATGAGGATTAGAATGAAGTTGAGATATTTTTTCAAACATTCAAACTAACTCATATTCCTTTTTAGTTAGTGTGAACCTGATCATAGAAGTACCCATATAACCGCAATATATTTGTATGTCTGAGATGACTCTGGATTTCTACTTCCCTTCGGAGCTGATGCTCCACCTGGGATTGCTTTAGCTGGCTCTTGAAAAGAACTTTTATTGCCACTATGTGATTACTCTACAATGAATATCGGAAAGTTAAGAATTTTGAAATAGCAGTCCAACAAAGAAAATTCATCATAGTCCATTCATGCAATAAGAAAATCTATAATACTAGATATGCAGTTTGCTGAAGTTATTAGCAGGCATACCTTCTTTTCTCTGGCCAAAAAGACATGACCAAATTTTCCTCTTCCTAGTGGCTTTCCAATTTCAAAATCACTAAGAGTCCATCTCTTCTCCATAGTTACTTGAAACTTTTGAAGGACACTATCAACTATGCATTAAAAAAAAATAAAAGGTTGGTCATTCTTCAAATAGGCGAAAGATTTCATATTTCAGAGCTTGCTGTGCACAAAAAAGGAGGAATGGATGTAGGAATGATGAACCTAAATGAAGCGATATTGAGGGAGAGACTTATAAATTCTGAAGAAAAACGACAGCGTATGCCAGTGATATTGTCCTCGCAAAGGAAGACAAGGGGGAAAATAAAGTTTTGATGAACATGATAATAGCCAATAGTCCATGGTTCCAAACATTCTAAGAAATTATCCACATGAGGTACGCAAACTGTTATCCTAGAATTATATTGAACAAGGCCACCTGCATCCCAATAATATAAGTCTATCAACACAACCTAAACACATAAAGCAACATCAAAATCTGAGGAAAAAAAAAACTAGTTCAAAACAAGATGAATCAGCAATATAGGCAAACTTAGTTGTCTAGCTTGCATTTAAATCAACTAAAAGGTAGCTAAGGCTGAATAATAATTAAGATTTCAACATTAAACATAATAAGCATAGACTGAAACGAACTTCTTGAAAAAATTTAAAGATTTTGCCCAAGAGTCGTGAAATAAACTTGAACGATTGCCCATGTTGATATTTACTATCATGATGAATACAAGTAGCACAAAATCATGAAAATTTGAACTTTGAGAATGGCTTAGGGATGTTAAGGATTCTGTGAGGACTAAGATAGTTATACAAAAATGTATCATTCATATGGTTTACTGGAATCGATTGTGTCTGATAGAGATGTCTGATTTCTTAGTCATTTTTGGAGAAGATTGCTATTTAACAAACACCATGCTCAAGTTTATCTGGGTTTATCACCTACAAAATGATGGTCAAACGAAAGTCATCAATCGTTCATTGGGAAATTTATTGCGATGTTCGGTTGGTGAACTTGTCAAGTCTTAGAACCTGAAACTTAATAAGGTTGAATTTGGCTTCATTCTATTCCAAGTAGGCTATGGTTTTATGCCTCAAGGTTAGATGGACTTTCTTCTGATGCCATATTCGCGTCAGCAAGATGGCTCAGCCTTTGAGTTAATTGCCAACTTACAGCAAATTCATCATAATATAGTTAAAAAGTTACATTATCCATGGCATTTTATAAAGTCGTCATTGATAAATCTTGCCGACAAGTTGAATTCAAAGTTGGAGATCTTCTTTGGGCGGTGTTGACAAAAAGTCATTTTCCAGCTCATGTGTACAACAAGCTAGCTGCTCGTAAAAGCGAACCACTGGAAGTTCTGGAGAAAATTAATTATAAAGCATATCGGGTGCAACTTCCTTCGCACATTCACATCGCTGTGTCTACGATGTTAAGTGCCTTATTTCGTATGTTGTTTCTAATAAGAATTCTTCAGCGTTGAATTCAAGTCCAAAACTTTTCGAGCCCTGAGAAGATGATGTGGTGATATAGGGGCAAAAACTACACATATTTAAGGTCGCAGAGACTTTGTCTGAGGGGATCTTTTTTCTTTTCATAAGCTCTATGTATAGAGGCTACGTGCACATAACTTCAAAGGCTTCCATGTTGAAATCATTTAGATGATTTCTATTTGTTCTTACTTCATATTGGAAGACATGTAATTACAGTAAAATTATTCTTGGTTAAAATTTGTTTAAATCTTCTTCAGCTATATTTGTAGAAAGAATATCATATTTTTTTATGGTTCATCTTTGTATTTTTATTCACATTTTTTTTATTTACAATATTTGATGGCTCCATCATAATGTTTTATGCATATCCTTTAAGGCTACCTAACTCACCAGCACACTTTCAGGTTAATTTGTATACTTTAAAATATCCACTTGTCACAGTTTGCATACATCAGAAACCTCAATTTCAAATTATTTTATTAAAGCTCTAATTTGGTTGCCACTTAAGTGACACGATAAAATCCCCCTAAACATTGCTTATCTATAAGTTTTCATGCATTAGAAACCTTAAATTCAAATTAGTTTATTAAAGCCCTAATTTGGTGTGCACTTAAGTGACCCAAAAAAATTGTCACTCACACTTAAGCGTAAAAGACAAGCATTACTTATTTTAATCCAAGGGCTTAAGTGCAACAAAGCTATACAGACCTTCACCTAACTTATTGTCTTATTTCAGCTTATTTTTTCTAGGCTTATCTTTTTCATTTCATGATTCAAAGAGCATGAGCTTAAACTAGAAACCAAGCTAATAATTTCTTATCTGAGTTATATTTTCTACCAACCAAACAATTTCTAACCCTCATTAAAGTATTAGCCTAATTTAATCCCAACCAAATAGGCGCAAAGTTTTAAAAATAACCTGAGGTAAATTGCATTGGATCCAAATCTGTCCGTAGCAATACCAAAACCCTACTTGCAAGACGTGTAAGGTTCCAACAGAGTAGTAAATAGTTAGAGGAACAGAGAGAGAGAGGAAGAGTTCTAGAAAGAAAATTTTCGAAAATTTTATTGCCAACACAAAATACCCAAAACGATCATATGTGTGAAAAATGACCCTTTGATCCTATTTTTTATGCTACAAGGGAAGTAACACCTTGACCTCACAAAAAATGAATAAAACATATATGATAAGATAATTATAAATAGGCAGACTGAATACAAAGACTATATTGCCCTCGGGGCTACAATCATGACTCAGCTCATACTAAGGGTACAATAGGAAACTCCAAGAAATAAAAGAAAATACATAAATATCTAAAAATATAAACTCTGAATCGTGGCAGTCGATCTGCGCTGTCTCCGGCGATACACATGCTTGAATCTCTGATCGATGTCTGCATCACAGACATTATGGTCATAGCTTTAATAAGCATACGTGGATATGATGGTCACGAATTGAATGGGTACACATGGAAAGCTCCTCAGGCAAGTGGCTAGGACAATTCGCCAATTGGGTAGGTGAGATTGCAGGCCTTTAGAAGATAATTTTGACTTGTTGATGAAGTTGCTAGCTCTTGCAGGCATGGGCGAGGAGTTCTGATTGACTATGCAAGTGGACACTCAATAACTAATTAGTCTTAGGCAAGTGGCCCCAGGTTTGGGCGAGTGGCCTCTTAAATCGAGGTGAATAACTCCTCATATTTAAGTGAGTGCCCCTCGAGGTAGGCAAGTGGCTTCTAAGGCTTGGGCGAGCGGCCCCTCAAGCTTGGGCAACTGACTCCCAGGCTTAGTCAAGTGCACCTTGTCTCTTGAATAGTCCACCTTGCATCATTTCTCACCTCAAGCCTAGTTGGCCTTGATTGAACCATTTGGATACATTTGGATATACAAACTGCAACTAATATTATAATGCCAAAACACTACCACAACTAGCTTTGTCTAATCATATCCCAGTAATTAACAGATAATCTACATAGTAATTATTTAGCATGCATGTATACTGCTTTTATGATGATCATTGTGTCTGGAACAAGAGGACAAGAAACTTGAAGTTTACGGATTCCTCCTTGCACCCGGAAACATCAAGCAAGCATGAATTCCTTATTAAATTACATATTTCATTTCATTGCAACTAAAAAAGACATTCTATAATTATTCTTTTACCATCTTTTTCCTCTCCCATGACCTCCTATTTTATAGGGATGTCAATTTTTTACACGACCCGAAACACGACCCGAACCCGACTCGGAAAAATCCGGGTTCGGGTTGACCCAGCAACCCGAAATTGACTCGAAAATGACACGAAAACTCATATTTGACCCAAAAACCCGAGATTGACCCATTTTTTACCCGATTTTGACCCGAAAATCGAATATTGACCCGATTTTGACCCGAAAATTAGAAATTTTAGGTCAACTTTGGGTCATTCGGGTTCGGGTCTAGAAACCTGACCTGTTTTTAAAAGCGGGTCGGGTTCGGGTTGACCCAAACAGTGCCGGGTCAGTTCCGGGTTCGACCTGAACCCAACCCGCTGACCCGAATTGACACCCCTACTATTTTATATATTCCATGTTCTTCAACAGGCAAAAGAGGAAGTAAGCGTCGGCGATTGAAGCGGGTTTAAAAATAGGTCGTGCGGGTCGCTACGGTTGGGGACAGGGGTAGCCGTGTTGGCGGCTGATCGATGAAACAAATATGAGAAGGGAAATATATCCATAAAATGAGATGGACCAATAAAATATCACAGCCAGGCGACGAGACCTAACAGCGAGTAAGAAAAAAAAATAGAAAGATCCAGCTGATAGATCAGATAGATCCAGCAAGTAAATATCAATATTATCAGGAGAGTGAGAGAGAGAGAACAAATTGAGCTTCTTACCATGAAGGTGAATAAGTTTATCGGTGACATCTCCGGTGATGGCTGTTGCAATGGCCGATTGACGGGTCTGGGGAAGACGACACATGTTACAGAGCGACGACGAATGTAAGATGTGTGAAATCAGAAATGAGGGGCATACCGCCATGTAGGGCTAGGGGTGCAACGGAGTAAATCCGATCGGCGAATCTAGGCTCGTGCTCGACTCGATAACAGCCTCCATGAGTTGAGCTTATCGAGCTTGTGGGTCGAGCTCGAACATTATTTAGAGCTTGATGGTTTATCGAGCTCGAGTTTAAATAGCCCACCACTCAACTCGCGAGCTCCTCGAGCTGCATAGCCAGGAAGAAAATGAAATCACAGAGCTATGTTGCCGGTTGGAAAATGAAACTCGGAGTTTCAAGTGGGATGCGAGATGCGACCTCAGGACGGAGCAGGACCTCAGAATGACGGGACCTCGGGACTGCGAGACCTCGATACGAAGTGCATCATCAAAATAGCAGGACGACGGGATGGCACCTCGGGAAGGAACTAAAGCATTCGAGCGGGACGAGGAGCTGGATGAGGATGAAGGCTCGTGAGCTGCTAGACGAGCCGCTCGACGTGAGACGAGTCGAGCTCGAGCTCATCTTTTGAGCTCGACTCAAGTTCGAGCTCAATATTTGACAGTCAAGTTTGACTAGAACACCCCTTGACTCGAGCTCGACTTGACTCGTTTGCACCCCTACGTAGGGCTCCACACAAGGGTTGGATTATATAACTTGTTTATAATTGTTAAAGAGCTCATCTTGATCTTGGAGCTTTGGCAAATAAAATTTTGGAGTTTTGAATATGTGATGTGTATCTGAATTTATTTTAATTAATCTAAATATTAAAAAAATTATTGTTTGTTTAAGTAATCAAATAAGTGTAGCTCATCTTTATCTGTTAGTTAGAATTTTTGACTATCAGCTAAGAGATTTTGAGTTTGAGTCTTGCATATATGATATGTGTGTGAATTTGCCTTAATTAGCTTAACCGTCTAAAAAAAAAATCAAATAAGTTTAAATAATTTT